CATCTTGATTTTGAAAAGAGTTTTGTGTTCTAGGGTTTCTTGCTTGGGTTCTTGGCGTTGCCGGAGATTGTGGGAGAGTTGTTCTTCCTCTGGAATTGAAGAACATTGTATCTTGCTTTGGGTTTGATCGTCTACTAGTGGAATACAATTGTTGCTATTGTTTTTCCAATGTTTTCTCCCTATTTTCTCAGTTTTTCCACTATTGGTGGCTGTTTTTCTATTGAAAACAGCGGAATATTTGTGTCTTGGCAAAGATCCGATAGGAATCACTTGGAATATTCAAGTGGTACCTATCATCTTCCTGGTATAATGTTGTTAAATGTTTCAACAGGATGCCACACAAAGGTTTTGGGAAGGCTTTGAATGAATTTCTGTAGATTAATAGTAAAATTATTTAACAAAAAAAAAAGAAGGTATTTTTATGGCATTTTTCCAAAATTTGGAGGAATTTTTAGTGAAGGATTTTGTGAATTCACAAATGCACCATCGAAGTTCTCCTGTTAGGTTAAATCTTCTGTCCAGTTGAAACAACTATCTTGACTGGCCAAGCTTCTCCACACAATCCTCTGAAGTTTTTACTGTCTGATTGAATTTGGTTCATATCCACTACGTAGCGATTGCAACATATTTTTAATCCTAAGCCTAGAAAATTATTTGTTAGTTGGTTTTATCATTTGAGCTCATGAAAAAGCTTGTACATTTGCCTTGAGCCTTGCATAACATGAATGATAAAGCTATTGAACTCTACTAATTTTGATTTAGAATTTTTTAGTGAAACCAACCTCAACAATAGAATTCTCTTTCATTAGTTACACCTGCTGATGATATTCATTATTAATTTTGACTAATTATATGATTATATCTTTTGTTGCTAGTTTATCTATTCTTCCCCTTCATCGCAGCAAGAGATGACAAGAACTCATTTTCGTGTCCTCCGAATTCCTTTTTTCTTATATATTACAGAGAGAACAAGAACTTAACGGGGACGGCTAGATATGCAAGCATGAATACTCATCTAGGCATTGGTATGTCTTTTCACAAAATGCTTCTAGAATTATTGTCTCAACGGTTCTAGTTTCAGTGCTACCCTATTAGCAGTAGAACTTGTGTTAAATTAAATTATCGGGCAATCCGATTGCCTTCTTAAATGTTTTGTTTAATACTTATCTTATCATAAGCTTCTAATTTCATACCCTTTTGATGGTATAAAGAGCAAAGTAGGAGGGATGATCTGGAATCTCTAGGATTTGTGCTGATGTATTTTCTAAGGGGAAGGTGCCATTTTTTTTCTTTGCAAGTGAAGATATTTGACTATTTATCCATTACATTTCTGTTTATAATTTTGTTCCCCATTTCTATTTAGTCTTCCATGGCAAGGACTAAAAGCAGGAACTAAGAAACAAAAGTATGAGAAAATTAGTGAAAAAAAGGTCTCCACGTCCATTGAGGTAATATTCGCTGCATATGATGAATTTGACTATAGGATCCTATGTTTCTTACTATGGTTAACCATTATAGAATGTTTTTTTGTAGGCCTTATGCCGAGGTTATCCTTCCGAATTTGCATCCTACTTCCACTATTGTCGGTCACTACGATTTGATGATAAGCCTGATTATGCTTATCTTAAGAGACTATTTCGCGATCTTTTTATTCGTGAAGGTTGTGTCTCTTTGCATTAATGGCTTTTAAGATGCATTGTGAAATCATTAAATCTTTGTTTATCTAATACTCTTTGTTTTGGTGGGTTAGAATTCTTAGGATAATTGACATTCGTATGCTTTCTCGGTTTTTAGGTTTCCAGTTTGATTATATTTTCGATTGGACTATTTTGAAGTACCAGCAGTCTCAAACTGCAAATGCTCCACCACGTGCTCTTGTAAGTTTGGAATGATATGTTGTTTTATGAAGTGTCAGTTCATCTAATCTATTTTTTTAAGGGTTCTGGTGCTGGACCTAGCAATGGCATGGCTTCTGCAGTTCCTGAGATGCACTCAGGTGATTGTTTGCATTTTTTTTACTATTCTTGTATTGGAATGAAGGAAAAGCCAAAAGGCTTAGCTTGCCAAGTTATAGAAATCTCATTATGGATATCTGTTTATTCTGAGATGCACGTATATATTTGTGATTTCTTTTAAGATCTGGTACAAAATCTGATAATGTGTAACTGCATTTTGCATGAACAAGTCAACTATAATCATTGTATGAAAGGATGTGTAATTCCAACCATAAATTATAGTGTAGGTTGCATCTGGGTCACTGAAGTTTTTGGTCGTTTCAAATTGGTTCATACTTTTTGTTAAGTCTTTCACATAGGTCCCAGTGCCATTAATTACATAATGTCTAAAATAGCTAAGCTTTCTTCCTTGTAACTTATCACGTTGGTCTATATATGTGCATTCTTAAGAATTATTGAGTCATTCATCTATGGTAGAATCAGTTTACATTGTGTTTGAAAAATAAATTTATATATGCATGTTAACTACTGCTTTAGGTGAGGAAGGGCGGACGAGTGGATGGTCCGCAACTGATCCCTCTCGCCGGCGATTGTCGGTGCCTGCTGTATCTGCGGGTAGCTTGACGAAGCAGAAGGCTTCAGGGGTAAATGATTTACCTGCTTCAAAAGATGTGGTAAGTTCTCTTTCTGGATCTGTTTGGTTGTTTTTTAATTTTGGGTTTCTGAATTTCTTGTGAATTATAATGTATTTTATTGACGCAATGTCCTCTATGTATATTAAATTGAAGCAGGAAAAACTATCCCTTATCTGTGTTATGTTTTTATTTCAACGAACTAAACATCCTGTTTTGAAGTTTTTTTATTCAAAATGTAAATTCTAAAATTTTTTGCTTTGAATAATCTTTAGGGTGATGCTTTGGAAGATATTTTGTCATTTAAATAATTTCAATCTATTTTGGAATATAATTGCATTCTTTAGCATATGAGGGGGAAGTGAGAATTTTTGTTAGATATTTGCTTCTGTTCATAAATATGGCTGGCATCAAAGCCATCATTTTTTCTATCATTTTTTATGTTTCCGATTTAATTTCATTATTTTTTATCAACACAAGCAATATTTAATAAACTGAACTGGTTAGAAGGACAGTTTGTCTATGAGTCTGGTCCAATTGGAAATCTAGCAAGAAATCAATGTTAAATATGAAAAATTTAAGAAACCGATCTTATTCTCCTCATCATCTTGATAGCTACTCCATCTCATGTTAGTGAAGGGCAACAAGCCATTTGGCAATTGATGCTTACCCCACTTCTCCTGTCCCTCTTAACTGTTGTTGGAATAACTTGGAAAATGTGAATTTTACCTTTGGCATATCCCTCCTCTCTAGAAGTTTGCCACCCACTAGAAGAAAAGAATCTGATGCCCAAATTGATGATGAGCCCTTATTAATGACCACCTTGCTTGATTTTCCCTTCGTTTCTTCCTTGAATTTCCCTTTGAATTGCTTGATTCTTTCTCTTGAATTCAATTGGAATTGTGGAGAGAGAATAAGAGAAAGAATAGAAGAGAGTTGTCCAAGGGTGTTTTTGAGGATATATTATATTGTTACTTTAGGAATTGCGCTTTGGATGGAGAACCAATAAATTTTTTTTCTTTGGAAGAGAGTTTGTGCATTTTGAGGGAAGAAGAGTCTTGGGAGTAGCGGTGCAAACGAGTTGAGTCTAGCTCGACTTACAACAAACTCAAGCTTGACTTGTCCCTCAAAAGTGCAGCTCGACTCGAGTCTAGCCCATCGAACAAGCTCTAGAGCTTGGCTCGAGATGAAATTGAGGGGGTGTTGCTTCTTTGTCGCCAACTTGGGCAAGTGGAAGCATATTAATCGAAAGAGAATCATAGCTTACCTCACAGGCATTGAGTCACAGGCTTGAACAAGTTCGAATCACCATCTGAACTCTCACCGCTGGCATTGTCACAAGAAAATTAGGGCAGGTGAATATGGTCTCCTAGGCCCCAGCAATCACCCTTGCTTTTGCGAAAAAAATTGAGGGCTTTTGTGTATTTTTAAAATCAAGTAGCTCGATGAGCTAATGGATCTAGTTGGACTAGCTCGAACTTGAGCTTGTTTAGTATACAAGCTGGACTACAAGCTTGAGCTCAAACTCGGAATTCGATAATCTCAATTCGTGAGCTTGATAGCGATTTGAGTTCAAGCTGACTCGACTCACTTACAACCCTACTTGGGAGAGTTATTTCCGATACTTGAGAATTTCAAAAATTGAAGAAAACAGGATAGAGCAAGAAGATAACATTTTTAGAGTGGATAAATAGGAGAGTGAATTGTTTGGAAGGACTCTTTACAAATTTGATTCATAATTAATTATTAAAATACCATTCATGCAACACCTATTTATAGAATTATAATTTACAATTTTTAATTCAAACTTAATTTTTTTTAAGTCCTAGAAATTGATCATCTAATTCAAAATGAAGATAATCCTAGCAGTTAAATCGAATAACCAAGAAATAATAAAAAATACTAGGAAAAAAAGGCTAGAATAATTTTGATACATGTCTTGGCGATAATAAAACTCTTGAAGTCATGCAAGAGCCTTTCTTGGAAGTCTGATTTTCATCGTAAATGTGCCTGAATTGGTTCGTGTGAATCTTTTACATTATCAGCATATGTAACTTGAACATATGAAACATATTTAAGATGATTTGGATCTAAATGTTGACATGCATCGTATATCTTTGTTTGACTAACATCAGTTACACCATATAAGAATCTAGTCACCTGTCGGTAGTAACGTGAGTTCAACCTATATTTTTTAAAAGGAATCATATGATAGTTTTGGAACTTGTAGATCAACCTACATATTTGAAGAAGAATTTTGCAGGTTAACTTGAGTTAAGCAGGTTAACTTACCCTCTGACAAGGTGAATCACAATGATATCTCCAAGTATGGATTAGTTCATAGCTATCATTTCCATGCGCACATCATTAATAATATAAATCAATTTGCTTTTTCAAGGACAGTAATTCATCATATCATAGGATCTTTTTTATAAGTGTGAGATATGCATTATATAGGATTTTCATATGTAATACTCTGATAGGAAACACTTGGATTTCCAAGTGTTTCTTCCCAAGATCAAGTAGATCCAAGGAAAAACTGCTGTCCACAGCAGAAAAACAGCCCAAATACAAGAAAAATCTGAGATGAAAGCGTAGGAAAACGATGCAAACACTTTTATTTCGATAACGGATGAAAAGCACTTGCAAGATACAACTTTCCTTCAATTCGAGAGGAAGGAAAAACTCTCCAAAAGATCTCCGGCGAAGCCAAGAGCCCAAGACACCAAAACCTAGATCACAAAACAATTCAAATTCAAGATAATTCAAATCCCTCCCAAAAACACCTAATTAAAGACAAAGGAATATTACAAATGACCTAAACACCCCTTAGTTCAAAATATTTCCCTCCTAATTTTGCATTTAGCCCATAATGGGCTCCACCAAGTTTCCGCCCAGCGCCTGGCTCCCGCTGGGTCTATTCCGTCGCCTGGAATAGACCCGGACCGGTCCCTCCTGGACCGGTCCAGCCGGCCCCTCCTGGGCCGGCGTAACATACTCATGTTAGTTAATGCATGCTTGGTGCTACTATATCTCAATATTATAAAATATAGCAACTTAACATGAAGGAATCGTCATAAATTAAATCATATAATATGGTCTCTCAAATGAAAGCACATAGAATTATATGTAGCAAAATCTAAGAATGATATTGTATAGCATATGCAAACATAGAAAATACTGACTTTTCATCATCATAGATATATGATTCTCTTAAATCAATTTTATGCATCATTGATCATCAATCACATGTTTAATAATTCAACACATAAAAGAAATATCCAATAAGCATAGAAAATCACTTCCTGAGCCAAGGTAAAGACACTAGTGAATGAACTTTGATTTTTTTCCTTTCATATTACTCAATACCAATACTTTCGCTTCCTTTCAAGCTTCTACTCACTTCCCATGGTCAACCATATCACCGCCCTTATTTCCAATTTTAAAAGCAAAATATCTACCTCCAGTCTTAAAATTCCCTTAAAGCCCAAGTTACGCTTATAGCCTCCATATATGTCAACATAGATGAAAGTAGTTAGGGCATTTAAGTCATTTGCTAAAGAGGATATAAAGAAGATTTATGAGTTTGTTAAGGGTAGTTTTGAAAAGGTTTTAAAATCATTTTAAAATTAGTTGAAAATACATAAACATGTGATAGTTAATTTAAATGATTCTTTAATGGTATGAGGCAATATTGATAAATGTTAGGATATCAAAGGAACTACATCATGATGATAATAAACACAATGGTCATCTAAATTTTATCAGGCATTATAATAGGAATATTAACTATTTGATGATGATGATGATGGTTTATAATATTTATGATATTGTTGATTATTAGAATGATAAATATGATTATTATGTGACAAATTATAATTATGAAACCTAACGTAATATAACTCATTGTAGTTGCCTTATTGATATAAATAATAATTGATTATATGTGTAATCAAAAGCCATACACATGATATCGTTTTTTCTTTTAACCACTTCATCTAGTACCTTAAAAATATTATGGTCAGCCATTATAGCAAATACTTTTTTTTATATCACTTAGTGTAATTAATATGATAATTGATGCCTATGATAATGATTTAGAGTGCATAATTATCAATTGTGCTTTATGACAAGCATTCTGGAACACAATATAACTAGACACAACTCTTACACCATAGTTGTGGCTATGTGAAAGGAAATAAAATGCCATTTGTGCTTTGGAGTGCACCATGGCACCGAGCTCATGGCTTGCATCTTGTGTGCCATAGTAAAAATATACTTTTAGATTTAACATACCTTCTGATGAGGACATCCGACCGTAAAAGTCTATCAAAGAAGGAACTGAAGATCGACGACAATGATTGTACCACTCTATTTTGAGTTATTATTTGTATTTTTGACTTCCCTAATATAACTTCTCTAATTTTAGGAAAGAATTTCAAATTCGAGATGAATTAAAATATGAAATTTAAACCTTCCTAATTTAAGATGCATCACATATGGAAAGTAATTCATTAGGGATTTGAAATTCTTTAATGGACATTGATTGGAAATATAATTAGGAGCCTTAATGGAAGTAGGATTTAGAGAGGAGAGAGGTAGGGATGGCGACTAAAGGAGGGAGGGAGGAGTTAGGAAGGATTTCAAATAGTTTCCAAGCAAAGCCAATTTAATTAAAAGAGATTTATGTCCATATTTCTTTTAATTGATTTGATTGAGAAACTTTTCAAATATAACTCATGTTAAATTAGGAAAGAATTCAAAATTGAAATAGTTTCAAGATTGAATTAATTTCCTTCCAAATTTGTCATGATCTATTTTAGGAAAGTAGTAAGACTGGAAAATTTGGAGGCAAAGGAGGGGAGATGTGACCGGCGGCTAGGAGGGGATTAGGGTTAGGGCCGGCGGCTAGGAAGGAGAAGAGGTGGAGGCTGGCGGTTAAGAGGAAGGGGAAGGCTTTGGGCTGGCGGCTAGGAGGAGGGGAGGTGGGTGTTGAGCCGGCAATTAGGAGAAAGAGAGAGGGTGGCCTGCGGTTAGGAGAA